TGTAAAAATGTCATTTTAAACTTCGTTTAACACAACGGTGGAATCGGTCCTTAACTACTTTAAAAACAATAATATAAAAATCAAAATAGTTTACCGAAGATGTTGATTGTTTTTGAGCAATAAAGAGAATTTAATCTTTCCTAGCAAACTAGTTTTGTGTCTTATTTCAATTCTAGACTTGATGTTTATAGGTATATAAATGTTGGTTGGAAAGGCTTTGACCAATTCTCCCACTTTATACACATAAATTGACAGGTTTACGGCGGATCTCACCGAAGTGGACGCGATACATTGGCGTACAAAATTATTTTATAGATTTAATAACAACTTCAAGTAAATAGTTTAATAAATTGTGAATAGCTGTTGAAATTTTGTAAAATTATGATTTGAATATTATAATACATGTTTAATAATTATTTATAGTCCATAAAGAGATGCGATTGTCTAGTTTTCCGCTGGTAACAATTTAAAATTACTTATTCTATGAAACGACACTGGCAGGTAAATATTATTGCGAAATTCTCGAAGCCGTCCGACGTGGTTTGACGTTTATCCCCTCTCTACCTTCCAAAAGCCTTTCCAACTTCTACTTACGCTATACATTTCTTCGTTCATTTATTAAATTAACATCGGTATATCAATTTTTTTAACGATATATAGATTTTCGATATATCGATACGTTTCATCCCTATTTATGATATGATAACCCTGTCTGGCGATTTGAAAGGGTCAATGATATACATAGATGTATAGATTGAACATCCATGTTTTTTAAAATTAATGTGAGCTTACGCGTTAAAGTAAAAATGTATATAAGTTATTATTTTTTACTATATTCAAAGGCTGAAAATTAAATATTTTAAACAAAATGGCAGCCAGTGGGTTTTTACCAATGAACTGGAGGGAGAATGCTAATGCGTGCATGTTGTATCAACAGAACTATAAAGAACTCTTTGGGCACAGCCATTTTTATTGTTCATCTTACTCGGGAGTATTCATAATAACCATTTTTTGTTTCACATTGTTATTGTCCAGTCCACAATCTGGTGGATCAGACAATAATAATAATAAGGAGTCTATTCTGTAACAATTCCTTTATATTTTAACGGCCTTTAAAAATATTTTCTTCTTTAATTCTGTCATTATTTAAACGGATCTTTAAAATACATTAGAGGACTATCTTAAAGAAATCTGTTTAAATAATGACAGAAGTAAATTAATGAATACAAAAATATTTTTAAAGGCCGTCAATATTTTAACGGCCGTTAAAATATAAAGGAATTGTTACAGAATAGACCCCTAATAATGTGAAATAGAAAATGGTTATTATAAATACTCCCGAGTGCGATGAAAAATGCCGATAGAGTCGCATCTCAAGCCTATTGACAAGCATATTCTACCCCACTCCAGATCATTGGTCTAAACCTTTTACCACAGCTAATACAATACAGCTCCACAACTCCGTGTCGGCGTCTTTGATCTGGCGGTCGAGAACCAAGCAAGACGGAATTGTGCTATATCTGTTAGATTCGAGGGTAAAGTCGGGCCCGGATTAAACCATTTTTTTATTATTGAAAAAATTGAAAACCTTGGCGTAATAAGGTTGGTTACATGCCATATTAAGTAAGATTTGGGAAACTAAACTTTTAATTTGTTTTAAATCTGTCAAATATAATTAAAAAACTTATTTAAATATAAATATTACGAAAAATAGCACATCTTTCGGATTAGAGGTAAAATAATTTGTATGTGGCTAGTAAAATCCTCGTTAACAAATGTTTTGAGCTAAAACAGTCACTTCATGACAAATTGTGGCTTGGATCCTTTTTACACCAAGGGCTTCAATTGTTAAAGAATTGTGTCACGCTCGTGGATGCAAATCAAGTGGTACCCCGTGTCTCTGGCAAGTGTTACTCTTCGCGCAAAGGGTTTATACCTAGATAAACGAATGCTTCGACTGAGGTCTGGGAACTCTGGTATGTTGGAATTATAAAGAATTTGTGCTTTTATTTTAACAATATTGGTTATATTTAGATGTATTCTTATTAATTGAAATACAGATTTGTAGAAGTAATACTTTGACAGTTTTTATTAATATAATATATTCATTTTTTATCTGACCATACCGAAGTAGGGAATTTTGAAACTTTATAGTAATGTGAAATTTGAATTACAATATTACACGATATTACATAATTAGTACTTACTTTAGGTAGGTACTAAATTTGTACTTGGAGAAAGTAATATCGATTTTTACAAGAAAACTTGAAAAGTAAATTAATTTAGTTCCTATTTCTGATGTAAAACTTAAACCAAGAAAACAAATAAATTGTAGTTTGTTCAACAAGGGTGGATATGATGATCACACAAAGACGAAGTTTGAGCACGACGTCGTAGGCGGAGTACTCAATCGTCTGATTGTGATATGAACAATCCACTCGATATGGTCAGCATATTTTTTCTACGACCCACTAACGAAAATCTACAAATTTAAAAAATTATTTTAGGTTATTTAGACAAAATAACTAATTTTAAAATAATTTACGAAGTTGACTAATTTATAAAATAAAATAAACATGAAAAATTAATTAGTCCTCGGCCTAGATTCGATCCAGGGCTTTTCGCGTGGAAGGCAGATGCTCTGTCCTCATCTTCACCGAAACTTTCAGGACTTTAGTTTTAATACTCGTAATTAAATTAGTATCATATAGTTTGATTAAAATTAATTTTTTTTTAAATGTGGACACAATAAAAACAAAAATGCTATTATTTATCGAGTCTACACAAAAATTTTAATGTATATTTAATATCAATAACTAAAATATATATTGACAATTAGTTTAACAGAATTGTCACTTATTTTAAAAATTTTAAATAATAGGAGTTGGGTGACCAAAATATGAACTGTGATTTGTAGATTTAATTTTGTTAAAGTGTTCTCACTACCTAAAATGGATATAAAATATATTCGTAGTTGAACGCAATAACATACTTTTTCGTTTTGTAGTATGTGCGTAGATTGGCTAATATCCATGGACAGATTACAAAACGAAAAAGTATGCTATTGCCTTCAATTGAACGAATATATTTCATATCCATTCTAGGTAGTGAGAACACTGCAAAAAAATAAATTCGCCAATCACCGTTCATATTTTGATCAACCGACTGCTATTATTTTTAAAATTTTAAATAAATGACAATTCTGTCAAACTAATTGTCAGTATATTTTTTAGTTATTGAGATTAAACATACAATAAAATAAGTTATTCTTTTGGAAAACGTTAGCATGGATGACTAAAGGGTATTGGGTTAATTAATTCTAAAAGTGTGGTACAAATGTTATTTTTTGTAGCCAATTCTTCAAAATTATTTTGAAATATGTTTTCAATATTGAATATTAGTTCTACAAATTCATCATTTGACAGTTGCAGATTTCCAAATGTATCTGAATTGGCGTTATCATATGCCTTTAAAAAGCAATAAAAAGAAAAATCATCTAATTCAACGTAATCTTTGTTATATTTAAGACAGGTATCGCAGGAGTGGATCCGCAAGGCTTTTATTAAAAGGTAACCACACACATACCTGATTAAATTTTTCTGTAGCAATTCGTCTTTACAATAATTTAGGGTGTTAATAATTTCATCATAAAATAAAATACAAGGTGTTCCATTTAAAAAACATACATTTTAATTTGCCAGGCAAAAACGTGACACCCTGTATATCCAAAGATATTTTTAAAATATATAGGTATTTTTCAAATCCATATAACTTTTATTTAAAACTTTCTTGCGTGTCTACAACAAAATAATGAACAATAACGCACTAATGGGACACCCTGTATAAATTGTATTTTTAATAATGAAAATTTCTTATAATGTGGTACTTATCGGTTTGGGTCCTTGGGAAAACTAAAGAATGTTTTCTTGTAGGTATAACCCTTATTGAAACAGCTTTTGACTGCACAAACAGAATGATGTCTTTTTTTTTCACTCATTCTACTCACAGCTAAAGAGTCACCAAAATAATAACAGTACCTTTAACTCAAACAAAATCAACGAAATTATAGGCTCCACGAAACACCTTACCTAAGTACGCTTCTGAACGCCAAAACCGTCTTTTCCCTTCGAAGGCGGAGCTTAAGCGATGCGCAACGAAATCGACGCAAACCGTTGCCGCCAAGAGAGTGTTTTAGCTGTATTATATAAGCTGTGCTTTTACCTTGTGGGCAGGATCAAAGATATAGTTAGTTATATAGATTAATCATCCATGTTTTTCAAAATAAACATAAACTTATGTCCTGAAGTAAAAATATAGGTAATTTTTTACTGTATTAAAGGCATTTCTTTGCAAGCTTACCATAACATACCAGAACATATTTATGTAACCAGAACAATTCTTTATAAGATTTGGTTACTCTGATGACGTCATATGTTACTAAAGCATAATATGTAGCTACATCTAACGAGGCATTTATTTATAAGCTTACTAGAACATACTATAATAAAAAATAACAAAATCAGAACTTCTTAAAATTTCTAAAATTCAAATTCCACTTAGAAATTCCTAAACTTAAATTATATTTTGACATATGGTATTCAATAATAGGCTTACCACGGTATGTGTGACACAGTAATCACACGTACCATAATACTGTAATCAAGTATGTTATTATAAGCTCATAAAGTAAATGCCTTAAAAGGCTAAAAACACATTTTTGCCAAACCCATTATGATTAATGAGCACTTGCGTCAATATGGCCGCTCGCAAACGACCAGTTTTGAGCAATCTATACAACTACATATGTAACATTGACCCTGTCAATAACACTGCGTTGCCATACCTAAACTTGTTCTATGCACTTTTCAGCATTTTTCCTAAATCGATTACTAAAATTAGGCAACCAACATTGCAGTTACTTGTATTGTGTATTGTATAACTATAAGAAAAAATCTTTTATTAAAACAATATTTAGTTACAATAAAAAATACTCCTGTTTTGTGAAATAAACTTAGATTAGGAAATAAACGGATTTTAATTTTATAATACATTTTTCTGTATTAAAAATAAATAACTGTTAACTTAATCTAACTTAAAAATTGCAATAATTAGATGAGATTTAAGGTACCTAAAGTGTTATTTAAATAAAGTGCTTCTGTCCTGAACTAAATCCAAACGTCTTAGGTAAACTTGTTTTTATGTACGTCAAGTTCAAGTGAAATAGAAGATGCAAAAAGATAAACACATGATAATAAATACACTTTTAATACCTAGGTTAAAATTACTTTTGTACCATTTAAATAATATATAAAATATTTCATTTTTCGTTTTGTTGACATTTTGAATGCGTTTTTCTTCTAGATTGCGTTACACTAGCAAATTCATCAAAGGGCATATTATCTAATTTTGCTGTATCCTTTGTTATTGTAGCTTGATAAACACCTGGTTCTACTTCTTTAGCTTGTATAACACACATTTTTAATTCTTGTTCCACCGCATTTGAATATTTAATCAATTCTTCGATAGCTGTTTGGTCTGTAACATGTTTGTTTTTCTTGTATTCTTCATTGATTTTCTTTCTAGCCTCACTTAAAGCTAACGCATCGCCATTGAAAACGTTTAGCCTTGTTTTATGAAGAGTTTTAAAGCTTTGGAGAACTTTCTGGCGAATATTTACAGACATTCAAACAATTTGTTTTGAAATTTACACCATTATATAATTTTCTAACAGAGATAAGACATAATGTCTTCTCTCTGATTTTCTAACCTATAAATTTCTTCTACGTTTTTATTTTTTGATTGTTCTTCTTTTTTATACTCGATGAAGTTACATATACATTTATTCAGCCCGGTTCAATGAAACAAGTACCAAATCAGTGGCGTATGCAAGAATTTGTCCAGGGAGGAGGGCAGGGCAATATTATTTAAGTAAGTATATTATATACAGGGTAATACTTTTTTACCTGTATCAAAAATAAGGAACAATTATTTATTTCAAAATATATCTAATGCACGGTCCATTCGCAAAAGAGTACTTGGAATATTAATTGTTTAAATTCGAAACAAAATCAATAATTTTATATTACGAATATCCATTTCCAAACTCTAAAGGTACAAAACAATTTTAAAGTGAAACACAATAAATCACTATACGTCAATTTAAAAACTTCCCACCCTTTAATATCTTTTTCCAATAAATAAATTAACAAATCTGAGAAACACGACGTGGTTTAATCCACTAGCAGGGGTAGATATTACCCTTACGATCTTAAATGAGAAGAGGGTCGAGTGACACATAGTTTTAAAGGTAATTTTGAGAATTCGGCAATATGACTATTCATTGTGATACTAAAAATATTGAAAGTATCCCCGTTGGAAATTAAATTGACGAATTTTTCCGATTTTTATATTATTTAATAAAAGGAAGATACTGTCGGGATATATACTGAATTGGACTAAATTACAAATAACCTTTTGACAATAATTAACTGGTGTGTTTTTAGCTTTGAGACTGAATCAAAAATATTTTACCTAGATTCTTGTGTTTCTCCCAATATTATTTTTTAGTACTATATACGTATTGGAAAGTCCAGCCGGGCAACTGCCCCTTCTGTCCCTCCTGCATACGCCCATGAATAAATGCATTTTATTAAGTACGTGTGTCTTTTTATCCAATTGTTGCAGCAACGTTGGCATCGGTGCGATATTTACCTGTATTTTTTTCCATCAAACTACCAATGATGAAGTAACAGTTTCAATCCATAATGTTTTCGATTAGATGTGACAATTGACAGCTGGATTGCGTGAATTAAGCAGAATTAAGGAATAAATAAATATTTAACTGTTCTAATGTGGGAAAAACCGAAAAATGGGCTTTTAATAATACATACTTTCAAATTAAGGTATATAGGTACATTAACATAAATTTATAAACACAAATTTTAATCCAAAATGTCAACTGTTATTTATTTCAACGGTTTGACCATAAATAAACACAAGACATTCTCGGTCGCATCGGTGAAACAGCGATTCCAACAAACCTATAAAAAAAAAACGCACGTAATGTGACCCGTTTTAACAATCTATATAACTATATATCATTAACCATCTCCACGCCTTTCGGCAGCCATTTGTATAGATGCCATTTGGACAGGTCTGGAGTGCCAAATTTTTTAAATTTGATTGAATTTTATGTGCCAAAGGATTTTTTTTCGTAAATAAAAATACAGATCTATTTATTTATATTTTATTATTATTAAATTTATCTTTACTTCCCATGCTGCTTAGCACAACACCATTTAATGTAAGTGATGATTGCGTTCGTGTGGAGGCAGAATTTGGAGTGTGTTGTACAATGTTAAATTTTTGCAGACATCCGAAAATAACTTTTCTCTTGCAGATGAAGATAATAAATATGAAGACACCTAATAATAATAAAATGGGCATTACAAATTAAAAAAAAAACATTGCAAAGAGTATCTAGGAAAGATTATTTTTAGAATCTTTTTTGGTTTAGCTTTTGTTTATTACATACAAACATTAAACATATTTTTATTTACTTAGAATTGTTTATGAGGTAGGTATTTAAATATTGTTTGATATGGACAAGTGATAATATTGTTTATCACTATGTAGTGAGGTTACTATTATTTTATCAACGTCTAGATCATGCAATAAGTTAGGTATGTCCTATTTTTATATTTTGTGGATTTTAATGTAATTTTTTGTGGCGCAATGAAGGTTATGGTTTATAGAAATGTTTTTACATAAAACGAAAACAAAAATCAAAAAAAGGACGGAAGGTGGAAGAAAGGTGAAAAAATAAAAAACAAACAAAAAAGAAAGAAAAAAGAAAGAAAAAGAAAGAAAAAGAAAGAAAAAAGAAAGAAAAAGAAAGAAAAAGAAAGAAAAGAAAGAAAAAGAAAGAAAAAGAAAAGAAAAAGAAAGAAAAAGAAAGAAAAAGAAAGAAAAAGAAAGAAAAAGAAAAGAAAAAGAAAGAAAAAAGAAAGAAAAAGAAAGAAAAAAGAAAGAAAAAGAAAGAAAAAGAAAGAAAAAGAAAGAAAAAGAAAGAAAAAGAAAGAAAAAGAAAGAAAAAGAAAGAAAAAGAAAGAAAAAGAAAGAAAAAGAAAGAAAAAGAAAGAAAAAGAAAGAAAAAGAAAGAAAAAGAAAGAAAAAGAAAGAAAAAGAAAGAAAAAGAAAGAAAAAGAAAGAAAAAGAAAGAAAAAGAAAGAAAAACAAAAAAAACAAAAAAAAACAAAATATTATAGGTACCTAAATTAGCTTCATATAGAAAAAAATCTGATGTGTCCAACACATGACTTTCCTATCTAGTTATTACAGGCTTTTTCCGTTTATTGTGTACAACCTATTGCAGCATCTCTATAAATGTTTAGAGGATAAACTAAATATATATACATTGTCCACATACATCTACCGCGAAACATTTCTCTATAGATATTCATTGAAAACGAAAATACGGAAAAATTTAAATTTAGCACTTTTCCTACAATTTTTCCATTACGGTCCATTTAAAAAAAATCATGTATGAACAAATATTATAGAGATCGATATCGCAAACAACTTTTATTTCAACAATTTTCATAAAAATCAGAATTTTGCACATTTTGTCAAATTTCTCGAATACGGACCATTTCAGGAAATTATTACATAAGGCAAAAATTATAGATAATAATATTAGAAGTAACTTTTATTTGAACAATTTTCTTCTCCAAACATAAATAACAGATATATTCCATAAAATATATAAAACGGCCTCCCATAAAGTACCCCCCCAGATGTTCCGACTTTGTCCAAAATCTAATCATTTCACGTCAGGCCGAAATAAAACTTAAGTTTAAAACTTATTGATTTTTTCTTTATCCGTTTTTGAGTTTTCTTCAAATTTCGAAATTTACACATTTTCTCAAATATCTCGAATACGGTCCATTTTAGGAAAATTTTGTAAATGACAAAAATTATAGATAATAAAATAAGAACTAACTTTTATTTAAAAAATTTTCTACCCCAAATGTAAATAACAGATATATTCCATAAAATATAAAAATGACCACCTATAAAGTACCCCCCCAGATGTTCCGACTCTTCCCAAAATCTAATCAGCTCATTAGACGCTGGAATAAAGCTTAAGTTTGAAATTTGGTGTTTTTCCGTGTATCGGTTCATGAGTTATGCGTTATACACACACACACACACACACACACGCACGCACGCACGCACGCACGCACGCACGCACGCACGCACGCACGCACGCACGCACGCACGCACGCACGCACGCACGCACGCACGCACGCACGCACGCACGCACGCACGCACGCACGCACGCACCCACGCACACACCCACACACACACAAACACACACACACACACACACACACACACACACACACACACACACACACACACACACACACACACACACACACACACACACACCACACACACACACACACACACACCACACACACACACACACACACACACACACACACACACACACACACACACACACACACACACACACACACACACACACACACACACACACACACACACACACACACACACACACACACACACACACACACACACACACACACACACACACACACACACACACACACACACACACACACACACACACACACACACACACACACACACACACACACACACACACACACACACACACACACACACACACACACACACACACACACACACACACACACACACACACACACACACACACACACACACACACACACACACACACACACACACACACACACACACACACACACACACACACACACACACACACACACACACACACACACACACACACACACACACACACACACACACACACACACACACACACACACACACACACACACACACACACACACACACACACACACACACACACACACACACACACACACACACACACACACACACACACACACACACACACACACACACACACACACACACACACACACACACACACACACACACACACACACACACACACACACACACACACACACACACACACACACACACACACACACACACACACACACACACACACACACACACACACACACACACACACACACACACACACACACACACACACACACACACACACACACACACACACACACACACACACACACACACACACACACACACACACACACACACACACACACACACACACACACACACACACACACACACACACACACACACACACACACACACACACACACACACACACACACACACACACACACACACACACACACACACACACACACACACACACACACACACACACACACACACACACACACACACACACACACACACACACACACACACACACACACACACACACACACACACACACACACACACACACACACACACACACACACACACACACACACACACACACACACACACACACACACACACACACACACACACACACACACACACACACACAGACATCATCGCGAAAATAGTCAAAACGGATTCAGGGGACCTCAAAACGTAAAAATCCGTCGAAAACTCGAAGTCGAAAAAAATCATGATTCCTATACTTTCCTTATATCTGTATACAGATAGGAAAGTAAAAAATTATTATTAGTTTTTTAAAAAAAATTGTTTTTCATAAAAAATTGTGCATGGTCTA